ACCTGGACAGGCTGGAGAGCTGGGCGGAGAGGAACCTCCTGAAGTTCAACAAAGGCAAGGGCCGGGTCCTGCCCCTAGGGAGGAATAACCCCATGCACCAGTACAGGCTGGGGACTGACCTGCTGGAAAGTAGCTCTGCAGAGAAGGACCTGGGAGTGCTGGTGGACAACAAGTTAAGCATGAGCCAGCAGTGTGCCCTTGTGACCAAGAAGGCCAAGGGTCTCCTGGGGTGCATTAGGCAGAGTGTTGCCAGCAGGTCGAGGGAGGTGATCCTGACCCTCTACTCTGCCCTGGGGAGGCCTCCCCTGGAGTACTGTGTCCAGTTCTGGGCTCCCCAGTCCAAGAGAGACATGGCACTCCTGGGGAGAGTCCAGCGGAGGGCTACCAAGATGATTGGAGGGCTGGAGCACCTCTCCTATGGTGCTTGGTCTTGCAGAAAGACTGCAAGAGGTGGGCCTGTTCAGCCTGGAGAAGACTGAGAGGCAATCTCATCAACGTGTATAAGTATCTGAAGGGGGAGTGTCAAAAGGATGGGGCCAGCCTCTTCTCCGTGGTGCCCCGCAACAGGACAAGAGGCAACGGGCACAAACTGAAACACAGGAAGTTCCATCTAAACCTGAAAAAAAACTTCTTTACTGTGAGGGTGACAGAGCATTGGAACAGGTTGCCCAGAGGGGTAGTGGAGTCTCCTTCGCTGGAGATATTCAAAACCCATCTGGATGCGATCCTGGGAAATATGCTCTAGAGGACCCTGCTTGAGCAGGGGCGTTGGACTAGATGATCTCCAGAGGTCCCTTCCAACCTAAACCATTCTGTGATAAGCAGCAAGAAGAATCTCACAAGAGAGCAGAATAGCAGACAATTTTAAAAATTATTTTCGCTCAATAGATTGGTATAAACAGTTGCACATAGGACAGAGAAGAACCTTTAGGATTGCTGCTATTCGGTTCTTTGCTTCACTTTTCCTCCCCTCATTCACCTGCTAAAACGACCAGCAATTTATTAAAAGACAGTATTAAACCTATGGTGAAACTTAGAGGTTAAAGTGGCTGAAAACTCCCAATTATTTATTTTAGGCTGCCTGCAGACTCAGAGCATTACACAAGAGGATTTCTTTGCAAATGAAAATGCTTAGCTCATTTTAAACAAAATCTTACTGGACAAAATTTTGTTAAGTTGTACAGGCCACACATACGCAGTACATGAGCTGTATTTTAACATTTCAGCTCTCCAAGTGTCAGATACTAGCTATTGTGAGACACTTAGTATCTATAGCTTAATTTTTTGTGAATTCCCCATATAGTGAATCAGACTCTCAAAACAAGAAGTAATATCAGGTCCGACAGTGCAATAAAGTTTGCTGCCATCCCAGAGCTTCCAGCTGGGAGCTTGAGGCAAATGGGCTGAGGTGATGTATCTAACACTGGGACAAGGGAAGCTGCTAATTAGTCTACCTTGCCCCACCTCTGCAAGCCTGTGGCAGCATGACATACATTTTCATTAGTGGTAAAACCAGTTCAGGAGGTTCTCTTCTCCTCCTTCCCTTCACCTCTCCCTTACTCATCTCCCTCCACCACTCCTTGAGCTGCTGAGGCAACTATCTGTAGGGCTGCCTTTTGAACCAGATCAGTGACATGAACTTTTTCTTTTTAGCTTTTTTTTTTTTTTTAATTCAGGTCATATCACTGATTTACAGCATAATCCCAGTTTCATTAGCAAAACTGAAGGCAGGCAACTGTAGCTCTGCAGCAGGAGCAAGCAGAGAGTGAGTAAACACTCTGAGCAAAATTTATCACCATGTAAAGAGGCTCACAGGACGCTGAGCGACAAGGAACTGAACCAGTCCTTTGTGTTCGTTCCATCCAGCCTCTGCAGAGCTCATTTTCCACTTTTTTTTTTTTTTTGGGGGGGGGGGGGAGGGAGAGGGAGGGGTCCCATATCCCTGTAGGATTTTGGTCCATTAGGTCTCCCCTCACTACTCCTCTGCAGCCCTAGCTGCAGTCAGTCACAGAAGACAGAAAGCACAAAACAGAAGTGGAGGAGGGAGCTCTGACCCTGGAAGAAAGCTCGAGTGTGAGGAGCCCTGCAGGAACCCTCTCCCAGGCAGGGAGCGGCCCGCCTGAG